ACAATAAGGCTGCGATGTTAATGGAAATATTCACATCTGAGTTGAACCATGAGGGGCTTTAATAAGACCGGGAGGGCACCAGCCAGTGGCTGGGCAGGAGAGAGGGCCCATTAAACATTTCCAAAAAACTCTCTTGCACGCTTACTGCGGGAAACAGTGGCACACATCCCCGAAAGCCTTCACACTCCAAACCGACGTCAAAGAACTAGCTGCGACAACAGTTGACTGACCTGTGGCCAAAAAGTCGAACTAGAACACCGTACCGTCTACAGCGAATGGCCAACGAGCACCTACGTTCTGCGCACACGTGAGAGGTATTAACTGTCCATACCAACAGGTGGTGGTAGTCTGTAAGACCTAGGACTGCGGGTATAAACAGAAGCAGCCCTAGAAAACACTAGAGCTACAGACGTTGAACGACTTTGGCCGACTGCCGTCCCGATGTGTGAGGGCCTTAAAGTCGCTGACCCCCGGTCTGAACATTGTCTTAATGTGGAGGAGCAAAGACTGCTGGTGGTGGTGTTTGTGTCACTGTCACCTTCTCACAGAGGTTGCTGTATGTGTCATATGAAATAAGCTGTTCTTGAATTGGATTTGAATGACTCGACTGCAGCGCTGACATGTGACTGGCTCCTTTTTGTGTATTTGCTACCATTCTGTCACATCCGTCAGAGTTTTAATCTTTTGTTTGTTTGTTAGTGTTGGCTCATACTGTATACATATTGAACACGCTTCAGTCCTTCATCCTGTTTCCTTTCTACCTGACAAAGAGCAGAGAGAGGTAAAGGGGTCTACTTTCTGTCTCCCTTCTCCATTAGTCCATTAGTATTCAGGATGTGTTGCCTGCCTGCCTGCTGCCCGCCACTCATTCCCCAGACAGCGAATCAGCCGGCGTTGATTAATTTCAGCCTATTAGCACCCCTCGTTCCCCTCCCCCGGCTCCGCCCAGGTTAAATCCCCGTGCACACCCGCGTGCACGCTCGCAGGCGGGGGGTGCTGCTGGGTGAGCGATGGCAGAGAGGTTGCCAGGGAGCCAGTTGTTGTCAGAACGATATTAATGAGTGCGCTGCTCTGGCCCTAAGAGTGTGTGTAGATATGTGTGTGTGCCGGTGTGTTTGTGTTTACGTGTGTTGAAGTGTGCTTCTTTAATTTTGGTGTTTGTATGCCAGTTGAAGGCAGGTCAGGCGTGTGTGTTCTGTGGAATGAGAGGTTTGTGTTTGGTGAGAGTGTGTTTGTGTGTGTGTGTGTGTGTGTTTAAACATGATAGCATATATCTGTCCATACATATATGCTTGTAGAGGCTGTTTTTTGTGTGTCTGTCTGTAGCTGTGAGTGTGTGATATCCAGCAATGCCATGGCCTGAGGGACAAGGGCTTATGTGTGTGTGTGTGTGT